AATATAATACTGTCTCCCCAATTTCCATCACTCACAAACCTTCTGTATGTTTTTGCCAATTCTATGAGCCACTTGTGTTTTCTGTTTTGTATTTTCTTTAAATCTACATTTAACTGCTCATTTATCCATGGACTAATTATTTTTAATGTGCAATAAAATGTATAATTTTTGAAAAACAAAAATATTCATCTTTGTGCTTTTGAAAGTAATTCACCTCTTTTAGTGGCTCACATGTCAATGTGAGGGAAAGATGATGTTCAGAACCTTCTTTTATGCTTTTCTCTCTTAGATCCTTTTCTCTAATAAAGGTTTGTATACATGAGAAAGAAATCAAAAGATATTAGTTATTAGGGAGAAAAATACCCTTAATTCTTAAGAACTTATCCTATCCTCTCTACCCAGACTTGTTTTGTAGGAGGCAAACATTTCAAAATTGTCCAAGGTTAACCATATCTTGATCCAGCCTACTTTTGGCATCTATTAGTAAAATTTTCTGAGAGAACTCTGAAGGGGGAAATTTTTGAAGATAAAGAATATGTATTACTGAACAGAATGGTGATAGAACTTAGGTGAGTGAGAACCCATGACACATGGGATCCCATGGGCTAAGATTGTTTATGGCCCAGCCATCTAAGCTATCTTAGAGACTTGATGAGATTTTAATAAGAGCAGGACTGAAAGGTAGTCTGAGAAATAGTACATCTTCTTTCTTACAAAGGGACCTTTGAAAGCCAGAGGAGTGAAATAGCATAGCTTGGTTGGATGCTATCTTTCTTTCTTTCTCTCTCTCTCTCTTTTTTTTTTTTTGGATGCTATCTTTCTTACATGACAAGTTTGAACTTTGGCCTGCCCACTCCTATCTGTTCTACATTTATCTCATTGTAAGTGACTTATAAGAAAAGTCTTGTGCTAGGAGTCAGAAAACCCCAACATTAGGAATGGAATCCTGAGAGAGAGAGAGAGGAGCAAGGTCCCAGCCTTAACTAAGACCTGATACCAATGATTCAATACCCTAGGAATGTCTGAAATGTGTCACATTACTCTGGACAAGACCACTCAGCCTGAATCTCCCTTTGCTATTGAAGGAATTTCTGACTGTAACATGAATGTAAAAGATATTGATGAGCTGATCCTCAGATGCCCCAATGGCTTCTATCCCTGGTTGGAAGACTTCTCCAGAAAACAAATCCAAAACCATCTTCAAGTCTACCTTTTATAGCTATAACAAGTAACTTTAAAATATCCCCAGGATTCTGTAACTGGGGGAGCCTTGGCTAAATGCCAAAGACATCTTAAAGCTCTTTTAAAAAAAATCTTTTGGAAATTTTCCCCCCTTGAACTTAAGCTTAAAGTTTTTAATAAAACTCTAGTGATTTGTTATAAATCCTACATTTTTGTTGCCTTAAATGTGACTTGATGGTGTCAAAACTATTCAGAAACCACTTATTGGATATTCCGGTGCTCTGATAGGCTTTGGGATGAGTCTGGAGGGAAAAGTGACCTCCCTAAAGAACATCATGAACCAGTAGAGTAACAAACCTGCCAATAGCAGAAGCTCCACATGGTAACTCAATGATCACCTTCTCCAAAAAAGTTCTCAAACATCAGTAGGAAATTAGAACCATCTACCACTCCTTTTCTGTGGTTTGCTGTGAGGCCTGATTTACACCACGCTAGTGTGTTCGTAGACCTAGAGGTTAAATCTGTTCCTAGTGTGTGGCACTAAGAGGTGGCTTTCTAAATCCCTGGGAGTATATGTAGAATTTTCTAGAAATAGAGCAACAAAAATCTATCTGAGACTGTTAGATGCCTGACAGAAGAAGAGGCACTGTAGTTTGTAAACTAGTTTGTAGGAGTTCTGGGAGATGTTCTGGAGTGGTCTTAGAAGTGACCTGTAAGTGACACTCACAAATTCATCTATGTAGACCCCTTTTTCCTGCACCTTTTTCTAAATAGATAAACTTTTTTGATGAAGTTGGTCATTTCACATAGATGAGACAGGTGTCAGTTTTCCTTGAGGTCAGTTTGTCTATGAGTTGTTGGTTAATTTCTGTGATAGTTAGTGCTAAAAATGCATAGAAATAGGCCTGGGAAGGTGGCTTAATGGTAAAGTGCTTGCCCAGCATGCCTGAAGCCCTTGGTTCTATTCCACAGTACCTCATAAATAGAAAAAGCTACAAATGATCATGTGGCTCAAGTGGTAGAGTGCTAGCTTTGAGTGAAAGAAGCTCAAGGATAGTGCCCAGGCCCTGAATTCAAGCCCCAGAGCTGGCAAAAATAACAACAACAAAAAATCCATAGAAATAGTAGGTAGGTAGAATCTCTTCCTGTCAAACAATTTCTGAGACGCCTCAAAGGATTTCCTAGCAGGGTTTCCTATGCCTTAACAACATATGTACACATGGGGACTATGCCCAGAACTTCTTAGGAAAAAGAATTGTGTCTCGGAATGTGATTTGGCAGTTCCTATAAGGACATTGTTAAAAACTTCCTCTAAATCCCTCTTATTTTTCTTTATCACTATTCCCCACAAATATTATAATGAATTATTGTTTGTTTCTGTTTAACAGAATGTCAGTTCTGTGAAAACAGAAATCTTTGTTTTGTCAGAGATGAATTCCAAGTACTTGGAACAGTGGCACACACTGAGTGTTGATGAATGCATGAATATTGTTATGAATGACTATATTGGATGAATGAACTGATGGATAGATAGGTGGGTAGATGGATGATGACTGGATGAATGGATGGATGGATGGATGGGTGGATGGATGGATGGAGGTTAGATAAATGGATGGGTAAATTGATGGATGAATGTTTTAGCTCAACCCCAGATCTGATCTTCAGATCTGTTCTGTAAGAAAGATCAGAGAGTTACTCATGATTAGAGAGTTACTGTTATTTAGCCAGAGAGCTGAAATTGTGGAGGCTGTTTCCTGAATAGTTTTAGGATTGATGTATGCTTCACTATGGAAATAATTAACATACATAAGCTAGGAGAAAAGGCAGTGCCTACAAAGTGCTCTTGTCATTGAAATGACCTTTGTATGCATTCTTCAAAAAGAAGATAGCTATAATATTGTCCCTAAAAATTCTGTGCTAGGCTACCTGGGTCCAAGTCCCAGATCTGCTCATTTCTCACTGGAAAACTGAAGGTCAGTCATTAGCCCTACCTCATCTCATTTTCCTCTCTCATAAAATGGAATCAGGAACCCTTTTCTAACCATGTGCTGAGCGCTGTGTCTCCTGACACCCATGAATGGTCACTCTACTAGGGGCAGCATCAAGCTGTGAAGACCCTCTGAAAGGTGGGCAGTGCCGGTGGGTTCCCTGAGCCTATTTCTAAATCAGTCTCTGGCTCTCCCCAGGAAAAGATCTAGCAACGCCCAAGAGTTTTGTTAGGGAGGGTTGTGTAGCACTCTCCCCTCCAAAACTCAAATCCCCAGTAAGTCAGGAAGATGTATGTGTTTTAAAACATTGGGAGGTCTGCTTTGGATCACCCTGAGCTGCGGCTTCCCTGTGCAGCTGCGGGCAAGGGAGGCAGTTCCTCTGCTGTGTGGCTCTTGCGCCCCACACAGGGCTGCCTTCACTCTGGCCTCAGCAGCCGTTGACTTTCAAATCATAAAAAGCCGCTCTGCATATAGTTTACTCTGTTGCTAGAAGCCAACTGAGCATAGGTATTGGGAAGGAAAAAAAAAGAGAAAGAGGGAGGGATTGAGAGAGAAAGCAAAAGAGAAAGCTGAAGAAGCAGCCATTGATCCCGCCAGGATTCTGAGCTCTGGAGTAGCTGTGGATGACAAAAGTTAATTAGAAACATGAACAGTTTAACCGAAAACACTTGTGACAATTGGAAGGGCTGCTTCTTCAGTTGGAGAATTTTTCCTAGGAAATCGTCGTGGGAGAAAGTGACTACTGCAAGGTAAATCCTGTGACTGTGACTTTGTAGATACAGATGTGCTAGGGGGGTGGGGTGGGAGCTGACAGAGCGAGTCCTTTCTGCTCAGTGCATGGGGTGCAGTAGGCATGGGCTAAGTCCAGGGAACTTTTCCTGTCATCCTGCCACTTTTTCCGAAACAGCTGCCTATCCTCAGGAGCCAGAGCAACATGCTTTCAGTGCTGCCTGAAGAAGGAGCTGATCTGTGATATCCTTCCTGCCACCTTGGTGAATAGCAGATCTGTAGTTTGAAGCTCATGCTTCTCAGAATAATTCTGGCTCTCGTTTGGAAATACTTTGAGGCATTTCTGAGAAAAGAGTCTGGCCAGGGAAACACTCCCTGAGTGCCAAGGGGAAACCTTGACTTTCAGATAACCTACATGTTTTTTGTTTGGGGAAAAGCTGGGTTTATAAATTATGCTCTTAAGCCAAAAAACAAAAAAATTTTTAGAAGTCCAGCCTGAACTATGTTTGTAACTCTTTAAAAAGTACCAACATAGGGAAAAAAAATTACATGCTTTGATAGGATTTAGCAACTTAGGTGAGTAATTACTCTTCTCTAAAGTTTCCTGGGTTCTCCTTTTCTCTAGTTTTTGTTTGTTTTATTTTCCATCCCTCTCCTATGTTGTTAACTGGTTAATTCTCAATTCTTTTGTATAAGTGTTAATGGGTTGCAGAATTCAAGGCAATTGCTATTTCCTACACCTTTCTTACACCACTGCAGGGACAGCTGCTTGTAGTAAGAGGTTTAGGGTTTATTTTTTCTGTAGATTTACATCCTTAATCATGCTTTGTGTGCATACCACTGTTTAGATCATCAGGCTTTTGTACAACACAGGTCACCAAGACATGATAGAGTCAGGGAGGAGCAACATGACCTCTGGGGACTAGGAAGCAGATGAACTAGGATTTAAATTAACCACTGATAACCCATACCGCTGATGATGGAGCGATATGTCATTTGTGTTGGCAGCAACTGGCTAAATGGCCATGACAGACCTTCCTATATCTCCAATGCATGTCAGCAGATGTAATGCATGTCCCCTTCTCTTCTCTGTTTCTGTAGAGTCATTGGCAAGCTTAGCCTCCTCCCATCCAGGAATGAGTGAAAATGCACCTGCTTCCTTGGAGAGTGGCAGTCCCTCCACCCCTGCTAATTGCAGCACCTCCTCAGCTATCCCCCAGCCGGGTGCTGCCTCCAAGCCCTGGCGCAGCAAGTCCCTCAGTGTGAAGCACAGTGCCACTTCGTCCATGCTGTCAGTCAAGCTGCCTGGGCCTGAGGCCTCCAGGCCCACACCTGAAGCCATGAAGCCAGCCCCCAACAATCAGAAGTCCATGCTGGAAAAGCTAAAACTTTTCAACAGTAAAGGAGGCTCCAAGGCGGGTGAAGGTCCAGGGTCACGGGACACAAGCTGTGAGCGGTTGGAGATCTTGCCCAGCTTTGAAGAGAGTGAAGAGCTCGAGGCCGCTGGCCGTGTATTGCCCACTCCAGGTCCTGCATCCAGCAGCCCTAAAATTGCACTCAAGGGCATCGCCCAGAGGACTTTTAGTCGAGCACTGACCAACAAGAAGAGTTCCCCAAAAGGCAATGAGAAGGAGAAAGAGAAACAACAGCGAGAGAAAGAGAAGGAGAAAGGCAAGGACCTCACCAAGAGAGCCTCAGTGGCAGACAGGCTAGACCTCAAGGAGGAGACCAAGGAAGAGCCCAATGGAGTGGCTGTGACCGAGATGCCAAAAAAGTCCTCCAAGATCGCCAGCTTTATCCCCAAAGGGGGGAAGCTCAACAGTGCCAAGAAGGAGGCCTCAGCCCCTTCCCACAGTGGAATACCAAAACCAGGAATGAAGAGCATACCTGGGAAGTCCCCAAGTGCCCCCACACCTCCCAAGGAAGGAGAGCGGAGCCGGAATGCAAAGCCAAACTCAGGGCTCCCCCCTCAGAAGCCCCAGCTAGATGGTAGGCACTCTAGCTCCTCCTCCAGCCTGGCATCCTCAGAGGGAAAAGGCCCAGGAGGGACCACTCTAAACCACAGCATCAGCAGCCAGACTGTCAGTGGGTCTGTAGGGACCACCCAGACCACGGGAAGCAATACTGTCAGTGTTCAGCTACCTCAGCCACAGCAGCAATACAACCATCCCAACACTGCCACCGTTGCACCTTTTCTGTACAGGTAGGAGAGTGGGTACCACATTCCTGGGCCATTGGGTAAGAGTGTGGCTGATAGATGTTGGGTCTGTGGATGGGGGATCCTGACTGCCCTTCCTCTAGGAACATATGAGCAAATTATCTAAGGTACCATGTACCTTGTTTCTAGGAGAAGCATATCTGGTGCACAATCCCCTCAGCATGGCTGGGAGACCCAGAGAAAGCTGAAGGGAAGAAGCAACATAATCTGGTTCTAGGATAAGCAGTGCTTCGCTAATCTGATGAGGGCCAAGACATTTCAGCATGAAGGCCTAATATGCATGATCAGTGTGTTGGTATCAAACACGTCTTAAACATGCCTGCAGAAACCACAACAGCTGGGTTCTAGTGGCTCACACATAGAGGCTTAGATGCTGAGATCTCAGGATGCTGAGGTCTGAGGATCATGGTTCAAACCCAGTCCAGGTAGACAACTCTAAGAAACTCTTATTTTCAACTAACCAGCATAAGAGCTGGAAATGGAGGTATGCCCCAAGTGGTAAAGCACCAGTCTTGAGTAGAAAAAGCCAAGTGAGAACTTAAGGCCCTCAGTTCAAGCCCCAATTCTGGCACCAAAAACAAAAAACACAATAACCACAGCCTCCTAATGGTTGTCTTGAACTTCCTGGTCATCATTGTCTCTGGGCGTTTTTTGAAGGGAGAGAAAGATGAGGGAGGAAGGAAAATAAGAGTGGTGAAGGAAGGACCAATTCTAGAACTGTCCAAATAAAAAGGGCAGGAGTTGGACTGATAGTGATCAAGGACTGTCACGGGAAGAATGTTGTATTGAGGAGATAAACCTGTTGTCCTTTATCTGTCCCATGTGACACCGGGTATTATTTGCTCTATATGGCTCTGGCCCTGAGAGCCTCTGGCTGCTCTGTCTACAAAACACACCTTTGCTGAACTAGGCACCCAGGCCTCAAGTGCTCCATGATGGCCATGGTTGAGCACTTTAGGCAAATGGAAGCTCCCAGCACTAGTCTTGAGAAAACCCGGGGCTTTTGCTCCCAGTGTTCAACTTGATCTTGTGCTGGAGATAGGGAGTACCTTTGGTCACACTGCATAGCTGGATCATAACTAATACCTGTAACTAATACTCACTGACTTTACAGCTTTTGCACTAAATATATACACATGCACAACTATACACTTTTGGACATTGAACATTCAGTCACACAACTACTCATTCCCATATCAAATGCAAATGCATCTATATACACATAACTTAAGTACTTACCTATCTGCAGGTATATAAATTTATTTCTATGTTTTCAACTTCCTATATGTGCATGGTTCTTCAAAGAATTAAAGATTCCCTCTATCCTTCCCTGAGTTGTGTTTCCATGAGCTGTCATATTTCCTATCAATAGCAATTTCAGAGTAAAACCAATGGTGTCCGGCCAATGAGGGAAATCCAGGCTTCACGTCTTCATTGTCTTTTACTTGGCCTCCTCTTTAGTGAGGGTTATACTGATCTTTTTAATTGGTGGATGGTCATCATTTTATTAAATTGAGTCATCAGCTCAGTTAAGGGTGTTGGAAGGGCACCAAGGCTTAGATAATAGCTCAGTACCTCTGCATACAGAGCTTTTAAAATACAGCTGTTCTCTAAAGCTAACTGAATAGCTCCCCCACAAAGTTTTTATAATTCCAATAGCATTAATAGTGTTGAGGTAAGGAACATTTGAAGTAATATTCAAAGATGCTTGATTTGCATTTCAAAATCCTAAATATATGACAATCCTTAATCACCAGCATTCCAACTCCTTCCCTTTTTATTTTGACAGCAGTCACTTAAAAGATTATAAAATATTCAGCCTCTTTATTGTTACATTTTTGTTATCTTTAAGTAGTTGTACAGAGGAATTACCATTCACAAGACAGTTTATGAATATAGTGCATTTTGTCACCCCTGTTCAATTTTTTCACCCACACCTCCTAACCCATCCCTTCCTCCCAACTAACCGTTTCCTTCACCTTTCTTAATTTTAGTTCCATAAGCTAGCTTTCATTTGAAATCCCCATTCTACAGATGTGCAAACTAAAGCTTAGAATAATTAAGTAGCAAATTTAGTCACAGAATTAATCACTAGGACTGGTATTTTAACCCATCTGTCCAACAAGAAGGACCAGGCTCTTAGCTACTATATTGTTTTAACTATCAATTACTTTGTCTGACTTTTATCTTCCTCTGGAAAACAAGAAGACCAAATTAGTTAGAGGATTTAAAGATAGTTTACACTCTCTTCTTGCTCTAAAATTCTCTCTCAAGTTTATGATTTCTTGTATAATTTACAGGGCTCTACCTGAAACCTCTCTGTAATAAAGATGTTACTAAGGGGACAAAAAAAGATCTCATTTTTCTTTTCAAAAATAACACATCTATCACTTTCTTATATACTTTTATATTGTATCATATTTGATGTTTGTACCTGCTAGAGCGGTCTTTGTTGTTATCCCTGTGTTGTACAGGAAGGCTTTGAGTTTCAAAGAGGTGATATGACTTGAGTTATAGACCTTAGACTTGAAGCTACATGTTCAGACCCCAAGTCTAATGTTCCTTCCAGGAATTTGTAGACTTTAAGTATTCTGACTCATCCATACATATCCCTTGCTCTTAAGGACTACACTGTATTATGAACTTGACCTAAGCTTTGTCTGAAGACAGCTCTCCATCAACTTGAGGAAATATTTAGTCAGATCACATCATCCTCAAAAGAAAGTGCTAAAAAATAATGAAGTAGACATGTTAGCTGACAGGCTCAGGGAGGCTTCCAAAGCCAACATGCTGTGGAGCTGCTCTTAAAAACAGGTTAGCAGTCCACTGGGGAAGAATCTCAAGAAGAATATTAAGGGACATAGATTAAAGTATAATGTGCCATCTGAAGATGGGGAAAAGCCACATGAATGGCGGAGAGGGGAGAGCTATGTACAAGGTAAGGAGCAGGTGTGAAAATACAGAAAGAGTCCCAGGATGTAGAGCAGTATCTACCACAAGGAGGAGCTTACACCTTATTCTGGAATGATGGGTGCTCTCGAAGGCCTCTCATAAAGCCAGTATTGCACAGATTAGTGGAGCATTGTGTAGGAGAAGACCAGCTTTAGGAAGAGTCTACAGTGGGAATCACCAATCCAGAGACCTGTTTTGAGTCCAAACATAAACGATTGCTGAGGCCAGGTAGCACTATTGCAGAGGGGATGACACACTCCCTAGGCACCAGCAGGTGGCGCCCTGTAAAAGTCTTATTCTGAGCTCTGCTAGATCCCTCTAGGCTTTTCTTGTTTTTAGTGGAGGAAGGCAGAAATCCAAGTAATTTTGTGTGTGAAACTGCCCAAGTTTTAAATAGTAAACTGATTTGAAAGCTTTAAAATACTCTCCCAATCAATAAGAAATCATCTGTTACCTGCTGTTTTCAACCTCCGGCAATGAGGGCTTAGACTCCACCTGGATAATGGAGAGGAACTTTGGGAATATAAAGTCCTTTAAACGTAGTAATTACAGGAATTGAGAAGAGTTGGCTTTAGAAGAAGGACAAACAAGAGAAGAATAGGTGAGGGGCATGAAGTTTATCAAGACATGTTCTCCCACAATCCTTATATGTTCTTATTAGTAACATTTGGTCGGGGGCGGGGCGGGGAGGGGGGGCCCTCAGTGTTTCAGCTCATGTTTAGTATGCACAAGGCCTTGAATTTAATCCCTGCCCCAGAGGGAGAGAGAGGAGAGGGGGCTGAGGGAGGGGACAGAAGAGAGAGGGAGACAGTTTGTGAGGGAACAGGGGAGAGAGGAAAAAAAGGAATTGTAAGCCAGGCACCAGTGGCTCATGCCTGTAATCCTAGCTATTTAGGAGGCTGAGATCTGAGGATCATGGTTCAAAGCCAGCCCAGGCAAGAAAGTCCATGAGACTCTTATCTCCAACAAACCACTAGAAAACTGGAAGTGGTGCTTTGGCTCAAGTGGTAGAGCACTAGCCTTGAGCTGAAGAGCAAGGGACAACACCCAAGCCCAGAGTTCAAGCCCCACGACTGACCAAAAAGGATGGAAAGAAAGAAAGAAAGAAAGAAAGAAAGAAAGAAAGAAAGAAAGAAAGAAAGAAAGAGAAGGAGCGAGTTGTTCTTAGGTAATGAAATCTGCCTAAATTAGTTCAGGATACTAATGAATTAATGTTATATACAGGGTTATGCATCTGAGCATTATTATACATTGCATGCTATGCCTGAGTTAACAGAGGTAGTTGTGGTGAGAAAACTCATGGAGCTAGTTGCCTCAATTTGCTTGACAAATAAGGGCATGGGGAAGGTTGGGGGAAGTACAAATTTCAGTCAAGTGTTGAAATAATGATCAATGAGACCTTTCATGTCAAAAGATCTGAGCACTGAATCAGAGACCTGGAGGGCAAACACAGCTGTTTGGCATCCACTCCTGACTGGTTTTACAGTTACCTTTTCAGAGAGAACCATGTCAGCAGGAGGACTGCGGGGGATGGGGGGGGGCATCATTGGAGTCATCTTTATGCTTGACTTACTGGTGTTATGGTTACTTAGGAGTTGCTCTTTGGCATAGGTTTAATTATCTGAACCACCAAGTACCCTTCAGCATTTGTCTGGCTAGACCTATTTCCCTGAGGAGAAGTCAGCAAAGCCTTCCTCTATCAGATTGAAGACCCTCCACTTGGACAATGAATATTTCATCTTTTCCAGTTGGGCAGCTCTCTCTATTCTTAGGACATTGCTCCACATGGAGCTATTGAATTATTTAGTGTCAGTCTGCTGGTCTGCTCTGTTCCAAAGCTCCTTGCTGAAGGAGTAGATGGTGAATGCTGTGGGCAGACCACAGTGATCCAGATGTGGCCATTGCCTCTCCTGATAAGCATATCTGTTTTGGTTTGTGTGTGAAGGTCACAGACAGACACTGAAGGAAATGTCACTGCAGAGTCTGGCTCAGCAGGTGTGAACATGGAGCCCAGCCACTACACCAAGAGCGGACAGCCTGCTTTGGAGGAGCTCACTGGTGAGTATGAGCCCCAAAATTCTGTGTCTGCTATTGATGAGGCGATCTAAGCAACCACCTTCTGGAATAGCAGGGACCCAGCTGGCACATTAAATTGATGAGATGAACAAACTTGATTTCTTGCCTTCCTTTTAACTTCCTTCTCTTTCTTCTCTTTTATCCCTATCTTTCGATCTCTTTGCTCCTCCTCAGAATTGAAGGGGGAAAAAAAAAACTTTCTCACCTGTTGCTGAGTGTTACATTTAAGATATATTCAGTATCCTTGCTTTAGGGTTCCTGGATTACTCTGCTACAAAAGTTGCTTCTTAAAGTTGCTTCTCACCAAGATTTGGGACTCTAAAGTGTTGCATTTCTTTTTACTCCTTAAGAGAAGCACAGGTTAAAAAGATATTCCTAGCATTTCCCATTAACTGGAAAGATTTGAGCATGATTTATTTTTCTAAAAACAAATTTTAAAAAATCGCCAAATTTAATAATTTCTTAGACAATGATGATTGTAGTGAAGTTATATTATATAAAAATTTATTGATTGATATTGTAATGTCATATCCTTAATTCCAAGGAGAAAAGTTATACCTGAATTAGAATTTGTGTGTGTGTGTGTGTGTGTGTGTGTGTGTATGCTAAAGATGGCCTTGTGTAAGCTAAGCCTATGCTTTTCCAATGAGCTATGCCCCCAGCCTACCTCTGAATTCCTTCTATAGCATGTTCCAAGCTACCACCTTCTCTGTTCCCTTCCCCTCTCACACAGCATTGTGTCCTGACTTTCAGCAGCCTCCTATCAGTGAAATGAGGAGGAAATCACATAGTTAGCAGTGGTTGTATCACTTATCTTCTATGACCACGCTATTTCAGTAGCTCCATTACAACTGTGAAATTGGTCTGTAGCCCATGTGGTTGAAACTTATTCATCTTACCACTAGCTCTGAGTATTAGTTTCAGAAAACTGGGGTGATTTTAACTACCAACTGGGCACAGGAATTGTGCAGAGATTTCTCAAACCATTTGTAAGTGACCCATTTTAGAATGGCTTGGGCCTCAACATTTGGTATTGATTTTATGTTTTCTGCTCTTCAGGGTTTGTAGCTCCCTTACATATGAACACATGGATAGCACAGGAAAATCACCAGCTATTGGAAGAGTATGAATTCAAATAGCTGCTCAGGTCTCCACTTATATTCCAGATAATGTTCTGAGTGGATACATCAAAAGGGTTAAGTGGGGATCGCTGTGTGTCCTGTTGAGTCATGTGGGTTCCTGTCAGACATCACATCTCAGCCAGATCCCATTTGAAAAGAAAACATGAATCCAGAGGGCATTCCAAATACCACTTATGTTTCAGAGGGACAGACTGCTGCTTGTGATGCTCCACTGACTTTTCTTTTTCTTCCCATGACTCCTGGGTTCCGTGACTTTATGACAAAATCTGAGCTATCTGAGAAACCCTAAAGAACTGCTGGCTTAGGCAGCTGGCTTGCACAGCCAGAAGGACCTGAAAATTCAATGGATCAGGGTGACTCCCATTTATATTCAAGTGGTAGAAATTGAATGTGTGACTCCACTGCAAGTTTTTTATAGAGACACTAGATAGCATGAGGTAGAATTAAACTCACCCATAGTACATCCCTTGAAATGTTATTAAGTGGAGGAGGGGGTATTGAGAAGTAAGAATTATGAGATTATTTGATTGGTCGCTCAATTTTACCCTTACGGATACAAACAGGGGGATTTTCATGTATGTAACATTGTGGTTAAGAAGTGCATATTGGACTATAAAGGTAGAAGAAGAAATCCACACAGTCCATAAATCCTTCCTGTAGGTTTCTAATGGATCATCTTTTAGCCTCTACGTGAATATTTCTTTTGACAGAAAAATGATCCCTTCTAAAACAGCCTTTCTTTTTTCCTTTGGTTCAACATGTAATGATTTTCTTTGCTCTTACATTTTCATCAGATGTAATTCAGCCTCATGCTGTCCACAGACAATTTCCATTCTTCCTCAGGTAGCAGTATGTCCTCTTAGCCTTCTTCTGAATAAACATCCTTGCTCTCTTCCATGTCCTTTAACAGGTAGATATCCTACATACTGAGTTATGGGTCGTGATGTGGTCTCCTTTAGTCATGACCAATAGCTCTTAGAGGCTATCCTCAGCAAATATTAGATTGCAGGAAGACTCAGGGTGGCTTGATTTTTAAGATCTCTGTAGGTAGGAGCTGAAAAGTCCTAGCTATCTCCACTGAATCCTTCTTGTTTCTGCTTTGCTTAGACTGTGAGTTGGTGAGAAAAATCTAACATTCTAGACAGTGACCAAGGAGACATAGTTAGTGTTCAGAATGTGATCTCATGGGTCACGAGGTAGATGACTATTTGATTCTATACTACCTTGGGGTTTATAGTATAGGTCTAGTATAGGGCTCTGAGGGGCACAGACAAATCCTATTAGGACCCTCAAAAGGGACACGGGATGCACACATTTGCTAAGTGCTTATTTTGTATGCATCCCATAGAGTCATGTGGGGTTCCTGTCAGTATATAATATGTACATATCATCTGGTTTTCAGGCAAACACTTCTGGAAGAGAGACAGTGTTCCCATTTAACAGATGAGATTGAAAAGGGTACATGTATGTCCAAGATCAAGTGTCCACAACACTACAATTCACATGTTTCTTTTGAGATGGGGTCTCATGATATAGCCTAGGTTAGCTTTTAACTCATAATCCTCCTGCCTCAGTCTCCTGAGTGCTGGGTGACAGGTGTGCACAGCCATGCCTGCTTGAATCACGTCTTTGTGGAAATACAAAGTCCGTGCCTTGCCTTCAACTCCACACTTACTAAACATCAACTGGGAAATGAATATTTCTTAAGCATGTACACAGAGATTAACAAAAGGAAATAAATATTTCTTAAGCATGTACACAGAGATTACCAAAAGGAAAGGTGAGAGACATTGTGCCCAATTCCTAAAAGGCATCTTCCCTCCTGGTGCTAGGGATAGATGCCTGGACCTCACACTTGTAAAACACATACTTTGCCACTGAGCCACATTCCAGTCCAGTATCTCTGAATTTCTGAAGGAGTTAAGAAAGGCAAATATGTCATTCATCAAGACATGGATATACAAATACATTTTGCATAAGTTATTAAGTTACTTAATTAAGGCGATTTGAAAACCTGTATCTACACTTAGATTCCTAATAAATGTTCTCTATCAGGCCTAGAAATGTCCACAGGACTGTACATTTTTGACAGCCTTATATAAATATGGTCCAACTGGCAGTAAAAATATTGATGGCCTCAAACGTCAACACATTTACATTCCTCCAATTCTCTTAGGGAAAGGTAGAATGGGCCTTTATCAAGTTTTCCTCTAAAAATCCATACGTAATACATATATGGATTTTAGAGACTTGGGTGGGAAAGGCAAGGTTGAGCACTGTTCAGATAAGAGCAAAATGCCTTCCAACTTTCTCTGGATTAAACGGGAGTCAAAAATTGAAAACAGTTCAACTTCCAAGGTTAGAGAATGTGCTATAGTAAATTAATTGCATAAAAATCACTTTGCTATCATTGATTCTATCCTCCAGACTCCAGGCACCACCATGCAGAGAACAACCCAATGAAGTTGTTATCTTTCTCAGAAGTATAGTCCTATGACATTTCTTAGCTGCCTATTTCTCTATTAGCAACAGTTGTTGCAAGTTCTACTCGATGTCTAATGTGAATCCTAGCTGCTACTGTCCATGTGTACTATAATCTATAGGAAGATTGCTTCAAAAATATTCATTCAAAGCCGGGCACTGGTGGCTCATGCCTGTAATCCTAGCTACTCAGGAGGCTGAGATCTGAGGATCGAGGTTCAAAGCCAGCCCGGGCAGGAGAGACCGTGAGACTCTTATCTCCAATAAACCACCAGAAAACCGGAAGTGGCGCTGTAGCTCAAGTGGTAGAGCGCTCGCCTTGAGCTGAAGAGCTGAGGGACAGCGCCCAGGCCCAGAGTTCAAGTCCCACGACCGACCAAAAAAAAAAATATTCATTCAACACTTGAAAATAGTCATAAGACCCTTGATTGTGGTTTCTTAATCTTCTTAGCCTTCCCTGAAATTACTTTAGGAGGAAAATGTTTTGATTCCTTTAATCATTATTATAGTTATTTCCCTTCTTACCTCCTTGTGAGGCCAAATAAGAGAACAGTTAGAGAACCTGAAATAAGGCTAGACAGAGAGACACATGGCTTCCTAGCTTGTGGGTGGCATAGTTCTCCTAGTATATTAACGCCAGCTTGAACCCTGCTCAACCAAGTACCTCACGGAAAAATCTTGCCCACACAATGGAAGGCTATGATCATGTCGAATGAAAGCCTGGCTATTTCTTTTGTGGTTCCCTGCTTCATACCACTGGCTAGCTTGTGTGATGGGCACGGTACGCAGGATCCTCCAGGCCTTAGCCCATGTTTTTCCCACCACTGTCCTTGGAGGCTGGTGCGATAGCCAGGCTCACAGGAGTATGAATGCAGAAGGATGGTGAAGCTCCCTACAGCCAGTTCCCTACAGCTAACCATATAGCCAGTAATTAGAGAAACTAGAATTCATGATCACCTGGTACAGATCACAAGGGAGAAGGTAGACTTAATTTGTGATAAATAAGTACATTCCTTTAGCCACACAAGCACATTTTGTAAATGTAGGCAGTCACTTATATCACTAGTACCGAAGAAAACAAGTATCAGACACATTTTTGCATTGGGAACGTGGTTCCCCTAACCTATCAATACCTTCTTTGGTGATTGTGTGTGAACTAGGTGCTTTGCATCCCCCACAAGCTACACCTCACCTATTTCAGGATGGACCTAGAAGAAGAATCTCCTTAGATTTCAGTACCTTCCTTTGGAATCCATTCATTCATCATTTATTCATGCATTCATTTTTAAGTGCTTATTAAGTACCCCATAGCAAGCCAAAAACTGGGCAGAGAGACTAGTTACAGTCAAGGACATGCTGCTGCTCTCAGGAACCTGCTCTATCAAAGAGTCAAATTTTAACCTTCCTTTTCCCAGGGGAAGACCCTGAGGCTCGGCGACTGCGGACTGTGAAGAACATTGCTGATCTACGGCAGAATCTGGAGGAGACCATGTCCAGTTTACGGGGAACTCAGGTTACACACAGGTATCAACAGCATGAATTACTTGGTTGAATTAAATGGAAACTTGATTTTCACAGTTTGTCATTTGTTGGCTCATGTCACCCACAAAGTAATTTGGTTCAGAATGGAAAAAATGACCTTGCTCCTCAAATATGCTAGAATTCACAAAGAGTACTAGGTAACACATAGCAAGACAGTATAGGGAAGAAAAGTTAGTATAGACTGACTCCTTCCAAAAGCAGGTTAACTAAATTCACTCCACAGAGGATATTACAGAGATGCTGAATTTAAGTTTCAGTCTGTTTGTGTTGTGCAGTTCAAATGGGCAGATGAACTATGTTTGAACTGTGTGATAAATTGAATAACTTGAATTCTTACCCACTCTTCTGATGCACAACACTGTAATATTATTAGTCATGCACGTGCATAAAACACGTACAGAAATGTTTATGAAAACTTAACTGTGTTTAAACTATGATTTAGTTGGATGGACTCTAGGATTACATTGGAAACGCTTATCAGCTTGTTTTCATTGCTCAGCAAGAACTTGAAGAGGATGCAACCCTGTGATGTCCTTTGAGATTTGGGTAGAATGACGTTTCACAGTTTGAGTTAGGCTTTGAAAATCAAAGGAAAGGCCTAGTTACCCCTGCTGAACTCCCAGGGAGTCTCCTTTGCTTCTCCAGTTTCTTTAGTAAATGAGTAAGGAGGGGGAGACACAGGGCTTCCCTGCTGTCAGCAGTTCTGGCAAATTAGGGTTAACCACTGAGGGTTTGTCTGTAGTAGTAGGACTGAGGCATCCAGAATGTGGGAACTGAGGCCACTTCCAGGATGGAGTGGGAGGACAAGAAAAATAGCTGTAGGTACCACATATGCTCTACAGAGGAAAGTGAGTTTTAGAGGTGATATTTCCAAAGACTTTAGGTATTTGAAGAGCAGTCTGGGTCATGTGTAACTCTGATTAGATATGAAACAGCCCTCTTTCTACCATCAGCACCAAAACTGAGTTAACATTACCATGGCATTTCTTTTGATAAATTTCTTGGCTTGAAGTAGGGTTGGTAATTCTGACCCTCCCTGGTTTCTTCTTTGGGATAGACTCTTAACTTTCTGCCAGGAAGGAAAGTCCAGTGATGTCCTAAAAGGAGCCTAGACTTCACTGTGTCATACAGTCTGAGGACTGTGAAGACTTAGAATGCATAATGGTCTTTGTAGTGCCCATTGATGAGCCTGACAGATCTACTCCACATGACTTGAATTATTAAGTACCTCAAACCCTGACATTTGCCTTTTTTTTTCAGGTATTTTAGACAAAATATGGGGGAAAATGGACATTAGAAGTTTAGAAAAATTAGAATCCTCCCCTCAGTTCAGTAGGAAGATAGCTGAGGATATGCAGTGTGATGTTAGGACCTCCAGGGTGAGCTGTGCATCCTGTCTGCAGAGAAGCAGAACAGCTATGCCATTCTAGAACAAATGAACAGTGGAAACGTTCATGTCCCTTCTTTCCTACCTCTGCATTTTCTATTTTCTTTCTTAGGTTAGGGGAAAGATTCTGGTAACATTTAATTAAAGTAGTTGGTAGAGGATATCTTATGCTATGTTACTAAGGAAAAAGCCTGCTAGCATTTCAGAATATTATATAGACATGGAACTTCTCTCTTACTTTGTGTGTGTGTGTGTGTGTGTGTGTGTGTGAGTGTGTGTGTGTGCGTGCGCGCACATGTGTGCGAGCACGTCATTACTAGGGATTGAATTCAGAGCCTAGATGCTGTCCCTTTAGCTTTTTGCTCAAGTCTAGTGCTTTACTACTTCAGTCACAGCTCTCCTTCTGGCTTTTTGCTTGTTAATTGGAGATAAGAGTCTCATGGGCTTTTCTGACCAGGCTGGCTTTGAACTACAATCCTCAGATCTCAGCTTCCGAGTAGCTAGCCACCAGTACCCAGATGCTTTTCCATTTTTAACAGCAGAAACATTCCAGGTAGTACTTGGTGCCTGTCATTTATCCCACCTTTTATATGAAATTTTTTCATAATCCTGAAAGTCTAAAAATATATAAACTGCAAGAGGTACCGGACACCCTAGGATCTAACTTCGGGCTGATTTTATGGTTTCAGCACATTGGAAACAACGTTTGACACCAATGTCACCACAGAGATAAGTGGCCGAAGCATCCTCAGCCTAACAGGGAGGCCCACTCCTCTGTCCTGGAGACTTGGCCAGTCCAGCCCTCGGCTCCAGGCAGGTGATGCTCCCTCAATGGGCAACGGGTACCCACCTCGAGCCAATGCCAGCCGCTTCATCAGCTCCGAGTCAGGCCGCTATGTGTACTCTGCTCCACTGAGGAGGCAACTGGCCTCCAGGGGTAGCAGTGTCTGCCATGTGGACGTTCCAGACAAGGCTGGAGAGGAGGTGGACCTGGAAGGTATCAGCATGGATGCCCCTGGTTACATGAGCGACGGGGATGTGCTGAGCAAGAACATCAGGACCGATGATATTACAAGCGGGTGAGTGCCTTGAGGCATCTGTCTTTTAGTGGAATGAGATGAGGTTTGGCTCCTACTTTCTATTGGGCACCTTTACTGAAGTGTTCTAGAGATTGAGCTGGCTGCCTCAACTTCTGCCATCCACGGTGTGATAGAGAATTGGGAGGGATATTGCTGGACTGTGAGTCAGAAGACCTGGGTAGACAGGCTCCACCAGCTGCCAAAGTGACACAGGAGAACAGATCGGCTGTATCAGTCTTTTAAACAAAATTTGCACAATGAATGGTATCCTGACTCCTTGGTGAGGCTGTTCTGCCCCTGCAGGACCTGGCCCGTACCTGCCTCTCAAATCTCAGTGGCTCCCACCTTGTTTTCCCTGCTGCAACTATCTTCTACTCTTCAGTCTCCCCAAGCTCTTCCCAGCCCCATAGCCTTTGTACTTTCTGTTTCCAGATTTGAATCCTATGTCTTAGGTCTCCACATGGCTAGTTCACTCTTGATTCTGCCTCCAGGGAGAAGCCCTCCATGACCATTCCATTTGAAGGAGTTTCTGTCTTGCCCCTGTCCTCATCATCTGCGGCAGGCTCTTGAAAAAACTTACCACCGTTTCAAATTATCCTGATTGTGTGTTGCCACAGTAAGCTCATCATCTTTGTGGATTTATTACATGTAGGTTTGACCATGTTTGGTCAAAATAAATAATTTTTTTTTTTGGTCCGGTCGTGGGGCCTGAACTCTGGGCCTGGGTGCTGTCCCTCAGCTCTTCAGCTCAAGGCTAGCACTCTACCACTTGAGCCACAGCGCCACTTCCGGCTTTTTTTTCTTTTTGCTTATATGGTGCTGAGGAATCAAACCCAGGGCCTCAGGCTTGCAAGGCAAGCGCTCTACCGCTGAGCCACCTTCCCAGCCCAAAATAAATAAATTTTGAAAATTCAAAAGAAATTTTAAGCCAGGCACTGGTGGCTCATACCTGTAATCCTAGCTACTCAGGAGGCTGAGATCTGAGGATCACGATTCAAAACCATCCTGGCAGGAAAATCCCATGAGACTCATCTCTCCAATAAATTATTCAGAAAAAGACAGAAATGGCACTGTAATTCACAAGTGGTAGAGCACTAGCCTTAAGTCAAAGAAGCTCAGGGTCAGTGCTCAGGCCCAGAGTACAAGCCCCAGGACTGGAAAAAAAAAAATTTTAAGCCCAAGTTGAAATTCCCAAGTGTGTATTACATAGCATAGTTGCCACAGAGAAGTTCTCATCAGTCCAGTTACATCACTTGTGTTTAAATTGTCATGTGATTGCCTGAGTGTTTCTTTACACTGAATTCTGTGAAACTACATCTGCCATAAAGGTTAATGGTGACCCCTAAAGCCAGTTAAAAGAGAATGTGACTGGGGCTGGGAAGGTGGCTCAGTGGTAGAGCACTTGCCTTGCATGCATGAGGCCCTGGGTTTGATTCCTCAGCACCACATAAGAAAAAAGAAAAAAGCTGGAAGTGGCGCTGTGGCTCAAGTGGTAGGGCACTAGCCTTGAGCTGAAGAGCTGAAGGACAGCACCCAGGCCCAGAGTTCAGATACCACGACCAGACCCCACCCCCTCAAAAAAAAGAGAGAGAGAGAATGTGACTAATTGAGATGATAAAGTGAAAGTTTTAGATTTATTGAAAGGCAGCCTGTCTTTAGCAGAAGTAGGATGGCATAATGGGAAAATGAATCAAGATCTGAGATTTCTGAGAATTCATGATTTTTCATCACATCAATCTCTGTGGAACTACATACTTGTAGATTCCAAGGTTTTACTGTAGTTTAACATCTCCCTACTCACTCCTGCTTACAAGAGCTACCATGACACCATAACCTTTGTTGATGATTGAATCTCTAGTTGACTATATATAAAAAAGGTCATAAATATTGTTGAACAGGGGTATAGTTCATTGTTATTGTGCTTGACTAGCATGTGGGAGGTCCTGAATTCAATCCCCAGCACTAAAAATATATATAAATTAATAATACCAGAAATACCAGAAGTGGATTTGGAAAGCAGTATGGAGGTTCCTCAAAAGACTCCACATAGAGCTCCCCTATGACCCAACAATCCCACTTTTGGGCATTTACTCAAATGTTCATAAACAAGACCACACTAAAGCTACCAGCACGACTATGTTTATTGCAGCATTATTTACTATAGCTAAGATATGGGACCAACCCAGATGCCACTCAGTAAATGAATGGATCAAGAAAATGTGGTATATATACACAATGGAATTCTATGCCTCCATCAGAAAGAATGACATTGCTCATTTGTTAGGAAATGGAAAAACTTGGAAAAA